TTTTCGTAAATAAAGACAACGACTGCTACGGCGCTTTTTGCTAAGCGGATTCAGGGGATAATCTTTTGCTTGATAATCATAAAGTGGAAGGTGTAAACTAGCAACAAATCTAGGAAGTGCATCGCTTGCAGCTTGTGTACCTCCTAGATTTGTTGCTAGTTTACAATTACACTGTGCACATGGTATTATCTACTTGGAGGCGTGTTCGTTATGGCATTGATTGATGGCTTTTTAATTTATGACTAAATCGAGTGCGGTAATGTTCAGCACTGTCTCGCTATATGTTAGCTGTAAGGTCTTCATGGGAATATGTGGTGATCGGTTATGTGCTCGTCACTGTTGGCAACATGATATATTTTTACTCGTTTATGTAAGTTTCACATTAATATGGCAAATAGTGTCAAACCGGTTCAGTTGCAAATACCATATTTGGTAGGAACTTGACATATGAAGTTCCCGTGGTATTTTTCTTATATGGACTTCTAAGCAGAAACGAGATCCTTAAATTTTGAATGTGATAGTAGTTTCTCACGAAAAAAGCACACTGGAATCTTGGCCTAACAATTTTAAAATGTTGGAGTTCGCTGGAGATTCGTCCAAGAGTAGGGGAGCATTAACATGCTAATCACAGATATCATATCCATTACGTACGATACCGTTATACTGTAAGGTCAGGGTGAACCGTAAGGTGTCAAAGCAATTAAACTGGGTGAAAAGTTGTTTATTGGGATTCTTTGGTTGCTGAACATGAAAATTAGGTTCACTTCGCACGAGAGTGCGTTTAGAGATACGGTAGGTGAACGATAGGATAAATGTGTATTGCGCTCAACACGAATAACATATTATTCAATTCGAAGTGTCATTTTCTGTTGTAAAGTTAGAGAGTGTGTGAGATCCACTTCTCACTTTCTAACTTAGCACTCTTTCAATACTGCATTTGGTATGACTAGCAAACTTATGTCAATTGCTCTGAAACATCAGTTTAATCTTTCTGAGCAACATGCAACTTAAACCAAAAAACCAATTTTCAGACGGTTTCGTGATCCTGCCCCAACACCACTGCTTACAGTAACTTTTCGAAAAGACCATATCGTTGCCGAATAGCTACGTGCGTATTGAATACGATATTTGTGTTCAGCATGTCAACCCCACTAGGCGACCAGCCAAATCG